AAGAACAGAAAACTTGCAGGTTGATGGTGACAGTAGTTCCATGAAATCAGGAGGGAGACAAAATCCCCCATCCTTGTTCTGAAATGCTCCACTTTTGATTGGGGGAAATCTGTACTTCTAACTGGTGCTTCTTATAATCCGTAGAACTGAAATACTATGAACGCTTCTATCCAGTGCTGTTTAATATCTATATAAGGCCGTTGGGGGGGTCATCTGGGGATGTGGAGCTTCGTGTCGCCAATATGCTGATGACACCCAGCTCTACATTTCCTTTTTTCCATCTGCAGTGGATACCATTCTGTCCCTTGGGCGCTGCCTGGAGGCCGTTCTGCAATGGATGCAGTCGAATGGACTAAAGTTGAACCCTCTGGGTGGGGAGCCCCAATGTCAATGGTTTGGGGAACTCCCTCTCTTTTGGGGGGCATGACTCTCACCACAAAGAATGCAGTTCACAGTCCGGGGGTCCATCTTGACCCGGCGCTTACCATGGAGACCCAGGTAGCGTCTGTGGTTCGGTCTGCCCACTTACATCTTCTGCAGATTGCCCAGCTGAGTCCCTATCTAGACATGGGGGCACTTACCACACTGGTCCATGCGCTCGTAGTCTCAAGAATAGACTACTGTAACACTCTCTACGTGGGGCTTCCTTTGAGACTGATGTGGAAGATTCAGATGGTCCAGAACATGACAGCCAGGCTATTAACTGGGATGAAAAGATTTCACCATATTTCCCCCACTTTGGCCGCCTTACACTGGCTACCTATCCACTTCCACATGGATTTCAAGGTGTTAACCATTACATATAAAGCCCTTAACGGTTTAAGATCTTGATACCTGACACAGTGCCTTCTTCTGCCCAGTTCTACCAGTATCACCCGCTCCAGTCAGGCTGGGCAGCTGAGGGGCCTAACACCAAGAGAGGCCCGGTGAGAAAAATCCAGAAACTGGGCCTTCTCAGCAATGGCCCCTCGCCTTTGGAATAACTTACCTGTTGAGATCCACCTGGCTCCCTCGCTGAGGGTCTTCAAGACTAACTTGAAGACATGGCTATACAGGCAGGTCTTCCCTACAGCCATGACCTAGCCTATCTCCCCTTTTCTTCTTTTTCTTTTCTCTCCTTCTTCCTCTTCCTCTTCTTTTTTCCTTCCCCATCTTGGATTAATCTGGATGTTATCTTAGTTTATTTTTTATATTATAGCTAAACCTCCCAGAGTAGACCCGTTCTAGATGGGTGATATATAAATCTAATAAATAAATGAATAAATAAATTTCTCTTGTTCAGGGTAACAACACCCCCAACTTACTACACTGCTTTAACAGACCATCAAACTCCCCGAGGAGTCCCAGAAGCAGGTGAAAGGTGTTCCAACAGTATAGTCTGGGGATGGATGTTGGGTGACCCTCCAGATGATGTTGGAATGCCACTTCCAGCAGTCGTTGTCAGCACAGCCAAGGGCTGACAGGACACACTTTGCCCACTCAAGGATTGGCTAATTAGGTAGAAAAAAGGAGCAAGTATCTAGATAGTGTACAGGCAATTCTAAAGTGAAAGTGCAGAGTATTGGAAGATTCACAGTTAGCATCCAGAAGATCTAGAAGAGTAAGAGGAAGGCAATTAGGGAGAGTACAAGTATGATCTAGAGCTGATACACAGACATTGTTCCAGGAAATGTCTGTGCCTGTGTGGCTTCTACAGAACACTGGATTTTCCCAGAGCCCAGTTGCATGCCATTGCAGCTCACACTGAGCCCCCGACTCAGAGGGAGACCCCCTTTGCAAGCAGGCACTCTTTCATGTAGCCACAGACCTAGCCCTTGTCTTTAGGCACCAGCATCTTCTGGTTGGTTGGGAGGTGGCTCAATTTCCTCATCCAAACTCCACATCAGAGGGCTTCACTTCTCTGAAAAGAAGATCCACAAGGAGGTTTTTCTGGTGTGGTCCATACATGCCCCATTGCTTGCTCTGCTCCTTCTTGCTGGCTGGCCTAAGAAATTCCAGGACCTTCTCCAAAGAGGAATCTTCTAGCTGCAATGTGACACCTAGTGCATTGCTTTGTATTTGTTTCCATGGTAGGGCAATGCATGACACCTTTTTGTTTAATATTATGTCATCATACTCAGAACTGCCTTCTTTTTTATTGTTTTGCTCTTTTTTAGCTCTTAGTTTGAATTTATTTTTTTATGGATAGAATATTTACATTTTCTGGATTACAAAGACCATCACTCTCCATTCTGGGAGTTCTACCCACCTTGCAGTCACTTAACAAGCATCTTAACGTGGTGCCCCTGGGAGGGAGGCCTCAACTGGAAGGCTTTGAGGACTAGCTACACCCAGGCTTCACCCAACCTTCTTTCTCCGAAGCACCAGTGCTGGAGCAGGAAATGTGGACAGGATGTGGTCCAGTTAGGTCTTAACGATGTCTCATTTGGCCCGTCA